AATGCTAAATCCTACCATGCCAAAAATGAAGTCATTCTTTCTACCTCTCAATTTGATAATTTTTTGCAGCATGCCCAATCCTGCTAACAACAAGGTCATATAAAACAAGGGCAAGATTTAAAACTTAAAAGCTCAAAGTGACTTTTGTCCCTTCTTTCTTGTCCGCTTTTCTCAGACCCTGGAAAAAATAAATTAAACCATGCAAATTTGTATTTATTTATTTACTACTGTCTGTTGATCTCACTTAGATGTGCTGACTTTTAGCTTGTCATTCAGGGCCCACCATGATATGACTTCCACTTCCTTTTGAGTACTCTCTAAACTTAACACACACACACACACACACACACACACACACACACACACACAAACACACACACACACACCTCCATACTGCTCCACTTTATACCTCACACTCCAGACATGGAGTAGCTACTTCCTGAAAGCCCAGGCAGTTTCACTCTTTCCCTTTTATCAGCTGAGCCCTAGGCCTAAAATGCTAATCCCCACTCTGTTGATCTGGAAAATGCAAACTCACTTTTCAAGGCACTGTTCCAATGTCATTTCCTTTTTCAAATCTCTCCTAACCCACCTCTCTCCTGGGTATCCAACATCTCTCAGAGGATCTATAATACATTAATGCCCTAATTGACGTCTTAAAAGTCATCACAGTTTGTTTTGTAAGTGTAAAGCCCTGAGTTCAAACCCCAGTACTACCAAAAAAAAAAAAAAAGCAAGCCACCAGTGTGGCAGAAATTCACAGGCACTTTCCTCTAATCTTGTTAGAAGGATTGCAAAACTGGAAACTACACTAAGATGCCTTAGTAGTTAAAGCTCTGCGTGTGAAAAAGTTTTCATCAATAATGGTTCCACTAACTTCTATGAGAAGTCAGAAATCAAATGTTTCTTTTCCCCTTTCCTTTCCTTGGATTCTTTCTTTCCATCTCTTCCTTCCCCCACCCCCCACTATGTCTCTTTCCTTCCTTCCTTTCTTTCCTGAGCCACATGCTGATGTCATGCAAGACATAGGATGTGAGTGTTTAGAGGAGGGGGCCACACATCCACCTCCCTCGGTACATCTCATGAGAACTGTACATACAGGTGCAGTGGCATCCAAGACTGCTGCCTTCCACTCTGCAGCTTCATGGTATGAGCCTGAATTCAGTTGTCCAGTGGTGGGCTCCTCATCCGGGTCCGTCTATCTCTCCCAGAGACATTTTTTTGTTGTTGACTTTTTATTTGTCTTGTTTGTGTTACTGGGGATTGAACTCAGAACCTTGTGCTTACTAGACAGGTGCTGTACCTCTTGAGCCACTCTGATAAGCCTCTTCCTATCTCTTTGTGCCTTGAGTAACTGGAATGTTTTCTGTTTTTTTACATTGAATCCTGATACAGTTTGTCTCTGTTATACTGTAACTCTTTTGAAAGCAGGAATAAGGAGTTTTTATTTTTATTTTCTTGTGAGGTACCATAGAATTTTCTCTTATCAAATAAATGATTGATTTACTGAATGAGCCAATAATGACTCCAAATTATATATTACACTAAACATAAGCCCTGACACACAAATCCCTTTTCTAACTCTCTTTATCTTTTCTTGGCCAGCCTGCTCTTGTCTCTTCTGTACTTTGGTCTAATGATTCTAGTTACTATATTTTGTGTACCTATGTCTCTCCCCTTCCTCTATATTGTTTGGATGGCTGCTCATGTCTGCAGTATCTTCCTTCTTTCTGTCAACACACATTTAGCACTACTGGAAAGAAAAAAAAATACTTTAATATTCCTCTCCACAATAAACACTTTTCTTCTGATGTCCAGTGATGGATTGAAAGTATGTTTTGGTGTTTTCTGGGATTATACTTTGCCTCTCTCTATTAGTTAGGAATAGTTTTGGATACATATCCAAGAAAATTCAATTATAATGAGTCAACTAAGGATTGATTTTATGTTTTGTTTCATAACAAAAACCCTGCAGGTCAGTGACTGCTAGCTGGTTTAGTAATTCAGGAATATTTGAGGTAGCTTCATGTGTGTCTCTTGACTTTTCCCCCACAGATGCAAATGACACCCCGGTGTAGGAATCATGAAAGATGGGAGATAGAGCCAGCCCTGCTGTGGCTTTTATCAGGAGGCCAAAGGCCATCCTAGAAGCCACTCAGTGCACTTCTGCTTCTATCTCACTAGTGAGGATGCCCCAAATGGCCATCCCTCACAACAAGAATGCCCAGGAAGCAAGTTTCAGTTGTGTAATGGAAAGGAGAGAGTTGGGAATGGCTACTGGGATAGCTGACACAAAATTATTGCCAAATTTTCTCAGAACTATAGGATTTTGACTCGGGGCCTTGCACTTGGTAAGCAGGTGCTTTATCACTTGAATCACACTGTCGCCCACAAAAGCTTTTAGTTTTTTTCAGATGGAGTCTTGCGTTTATACCCTGGCCAGCCTGGACTGAGAGCCTCCTATGTATGCTTTTCAAGTATCTGGAATGACAAGCACACACCACTATGATCAGATTTTGTTAGTTGAGATGGGGTCTCATGAACTTTTTGCCTGGACTGGCCAATCTCCATCTCCTGCGTAGCTAGGATTATAGGCATAAGCCACTGTGCCCAGCTTTCATCTGTATTCTTTGAGCTAGCTCTAAGCCTATTTTCCCACAGTCTTTGGAAATGCTTGCTATAGTGCTGCATACCTGGTTATAAAGATTGTCAGTTATATAGGTAAAATTATAGTCCTTACAGTATGACACATCATTCTGGATGTTTGGTAGATTTTTTTTTATGTCTGTGTTTATCAAAAGTAATGAAATGTTGGTTCATAAAGATATTTACTCTACTTTAAGCATAAGTATAGCTTGAAAGACTTGAGCCATGATTTGTGACTAGAACATGTGTGTTACAAACCTGAAATATTTAGTTAGGAAGAGCTGAAGAGTCTTTTTATCCCAAATTGTCTCTCTTTAAAACTAGGATCGAACAGAAGAGGGTCAAATAGCATTCTCCTTCTACTTTCCCTCTCCCTGACTACCCCAGTATTTAATTTGAAATAATGTTCAAATGAATCTTGAATCAAGGTTGAGGGGGGGATAAGTGAAACAAAGAGCTCCCAAGTACACCTTAATAAGGAGTGCATTGGACCTTTATAATGGGAGGGTGGCTGAGTAGAGCTGAACCAGGAAGGGAAAAGGCTTTTGGTGGGTTGGGTGGTCACTCTCAGACCTCTTATTTAGCATAATTAGGTGGATTCCCCTCTGTGTCTAGGTCAACAAGTGCTGCCTAGTGCTCTGGGGCTATCTACTTTAGGAAGGAAGGCTCTGCTCAGATTATTAGGAGTGCTTTTCCTATAATCACATCCTTTCCTCTGGTAGAAATTAGATATTAGATATTACAGCCTTTAATTACAGGCTAGTGGCTCCCATGCCCTCCCAAAAGAAAATTGCTTTGAGATAGCAGCTGGAAATTAGGGTTGTAAAATAAATCCAGAAGAGGCTTGTCAAGTTTTCTTGCCCATAAAATGAAAATAAAATATTGCATTTGTGAAGTTCTATGGAAGAAAATACTGGAAAGGTAGCTTAAGTTGCTTAGTAAAGAGAATTTTGCTATAAAGCACCACCACATCAGCCACTGTTCAAACAAAAATGCAATCAGGAAAATGACTTGAAATGTTTATGTTTACTTCCAGTATTCCAATTAAAGCAGAACTTCATGTTCCTTTTGGTTGCCATTCAAATTTTCTCTTCTCTCCTGATTCCTATAAATGTAGTAACTGATAAATTCCACTCTCCTGAAGTAGAACGACTACACTAAATTTAACGATATTTTTTTCTTTTCTGAGAGCTTTATTGCCTGGATGATGTCTGCAAATCACAAACACATCTAGCTCAAGTTCTCTGTTCAATAGATGTTTCCTTCTGACTTTATGATTAGCAGGTACAATCTTTGCTGAGTACTACTGAGCCATTTTAGTTTTCAAGTCTAATAGTCCTACACATTGAATCAGATTTGAATCACTTCTTACAGTCTAAATAGGTCAACTAATTAATTCTCCATCCCAATCAGGGCCTTTTCATACATCCTGACAACTCCGGGTTCAGCTTGGTAAAGTTTAGTGACTCAGAATCCAGTGATTTTTGAGTCCAGTAACAAAACAGGTATAGCTTGGTTACTCAGCTCTTACTTGTATTTATCTTCACTCCTCTTTCTCACCCTCACCCTCCATCTGCCCTGTTCTACCTCTGGGAGTATTATAGAATGTATAGTTTGAGAGGGGAGAGGGGTGAGGGGACAGGGGGAATATTTAATTCGAATTCTACGTTTTCCAGCTGGGGAGCGATTGAAAGGGGCAGGGAGAGAAAAAACTGGGAAGATTATAAAGCTTAATTCCTGAAAAGGAGGCTAGTTCTCATGCGTTATTCTTTTTTCTTTTCAATTTCCTTTATTCATATGTGCATACAATGATTGGGTCATTACTCCCCCCCATCCCCCGCCCCTTCCCTTTCCCCTACCCATACCCCTTCCTTCTCGCCCCCACCCCCTCGCTTCCAGGCAGAAACTGTTTTGCCCTTATCTCTAAGTTTGTTGAAGAGAGAGTATAAACATTAACAAGGAGGACCAGGGGTTTTTGCTAGTTAAGGTGAGGATAGCTATATAGGGAGATTCCTAGTTTTTCTTCAAGTACATATGTGTTACTTTCTAAATTGAGTCTTCTCAAACTAACCTTTTCTCTAGTTCCTAGTCCCCTTCCCCTATTAGCCTGTGTTGCTTTAATCATGCGTTAGTTACTCTTAAGCGTTGGACCAAGCAACATAGACCCTGGCTGAACATCTGGGACCTCCTCGCAGGTTGAGCTTCGCGCTGCAGCCGCCAGGGGGCGCGGGGTTCCGGAGCCCGGGCCCTCAGGTAGGCGTGGGCGAGGCCGCGGGAGGGGCCGTGGGCGGAGGAAGCAGTTTTGGGCCAGGTGTGCGCTGGTCCCCTCGGCCGCGCGGGTCGCATTCGAGGACATGAGCAAGTATGCTGCGCTACAGCGGGCCGGGCTGCATCTGGATTTCATCCATGCCAACTCGTGAGTGCCCCGCAGGGGTCGGAGTGGGGGTGGGTCTCTGCGCAAGAGAGAAAATACCCCAAAATTGGTAAAAAAAAAAAAAAAATCAAACCAAATAAATAAACTTGGTATGGTTGATTTATGGATTTATATATGCTGTGCATGTGATTTAAAACAATGAAAAAGTGATAAAGGTGTATTTTGGGCCAGTCTGAGCCCTCTTGGTCCTCTTCAATTAGCACTAAGGGCAAGGAGCCTCCCCACATAACATTTAACAAAACTTTTGAATTGCCAAAGCCTAATTCTACCAAACCTGCTTACGTTTAGTCTAACCCACATGGTGACAATTTAAGGATTGAAGTTGCTTTCATTCTATTCAGGATGGTTAACAGTTTAAATTATGAATTGTTTATTTCTGGAACTTTCTATTTAATAGTTTTGGGCTGAGATTGACCAAGTGTAAGGGAAATGACAAAGTGAAACCATGGATATGGGGAGACCACTGTGCTCAGATTGCAGAGGCAGAAGAGAGTTTCTGTCATTTGCCACTTCTAGGACAGCAAAGTATAGCAGTGAGTGCTGTGTAATTCACAGTGTTTTGGAATCACTTGGTAATTGGTATTTGTTAGAAGTACCAACTGGTATAAAAAAATGCATCAAGCTTGAGCCCACTGAAATGGAGGTGTAAAGAAAGCCAGGGAAGACTTACTGTGGGGACTAACTGCGATTTTGAAGTAACAAAATAAACCAGGTGATCCGTAGTTTTTATGAATTATTTCAAAATGGAAAGGGTGGGAAAAATAGTTGAAAAGTAACTGAGGTGGAAGATAAATGAAGGAGTAGCTGTTTTGAATGAGTTTAAGGAAAATTAAAGCCCAGTTCTGAGACCGTAAATTTCATGTTAGAAATATCCCTCAGCCTCAGTTTTCCAGTTTCTGCTGTCACTGCCTCCCAAGGTCCCCCTCCTGCCACCTACCCTGTGCTATCCACTTCTCCAGCCCCCTTTCAGTTGGTGGTGTGTAATGACTAAAGTGACAGCAGCATGAAGCAACAGCATAATCAAACACTTTTCAGCTCCCAGGTTGATGCATGTTTGATACTTCTGTCCATAAAAGCAGGAGTGATTTTCTGTTTCTTTTTTGTTTTTTTGAGACAGGGTGTTACCGTATAGCCCAGGCTGGTCTTGAATTTGCTATCCTCTGGTTCAGCATCCTGAGTGCTGAGATTACAGACATGAACTACCAGACTTGGCAGGAGAGATTTTTTTTTCTTTTTGTGATGGTGGTGGGTGGGATTGAACCCAGGGCCTTGCCCATGCAAGGGCTCTACCACTGAGCTACAACCCCAGCCCAGGAGTGATTTTTAAAATTTTCTTCCTTTGCTACACCCAACATTTAATTCATCGAGTGCATGCTTTCTCCTATGGACCATGCTCCACATAACCTCTTAACTGGGTTCACTGTTTCCCACCCTAGCTTCTCATATATCTGTGCTCCTGCAAGCTGCCAGGCTGAGCTTCATAAAGTAAACCAGATGTGTCACCCTTCTGAAAGCACTATAGTGGTTTCTGTTGCATGTAGGCCTCATGCAAGGTCTTCTCCATGGGGTAGACAATCCCTGCGTGACCTGGCCATGCCCTTATCCTACCCTGTGCTCCTAATTTTACCATAAGCTCAACGCTCAGAGCCTTTAGCTCGTTTCTGTCTTGTGACCTTTGCATTTACTACTCATGCTGGGAAGATGAGGCCAAGTTCTTATCTTCAGGGGTCAGTTTAATGGCTCTGTCAAGAGAGGCTTCCCCTGACCACCTGTCCCTCCCCACCAGTTACCTGTCCTATCACCTTTGTGCAAATGGTGACTAGTCATGCTTTTAAGGCCATCTTTATGTATTTCTTGGGTGTTCACGTGCCCCACCAACTTCAGCTCCAAGACAGCAGAGACTTTCTCTTCCCATGAGTATATAGTAATAGTAGTAAAAATCTCTTGAATGAACAAGTACAGGAATTCATATGGCATTTTTTTTTTTGGTCAGAATTATTTCCTTTATTTTATTTTATTCATATGTGCTTCTTTTCTGTCTTTCTTTCTTTTTTTTTTTTTTTTTTGGTTGTACTGGGGCTTGAACTCAGGGTCTCACACTTGCTAAGCAGGCACTCTACCACTTGAGCCACTCCACCGTGAATTATTTCATTTTCCTGAGGCTAGTTTATATATTAAAATTTTAATTTTAAATTCACTGAAGGGCTTATGGTTTAAAGTGCTCATTTTGTAAAGCATATTACACTTATCCTTTACAATATTTTATGTTTTTATACCAGTTTTCTTTAGAGTGAAGGGCATGGGCATCTTTTTATAATAATAGCATTTTAATAGTTTTTTTTTTGTGTGGTATTGGGGTTTGAACTCGGGGCCTACACCTTGAGCCACTCCACTAGCCCTTCTTTGTGAAGGGTTTTTTCAAGATAGGGTCTCATGGAACTGTTTGCCTGGGCTGTCTTCAAACCACGATCCTCCAGAACTCTGCCTCCTGAGTAGCCAGGATTACAGGCCGGAGCCACCGGCCCCTGGCAATAGATTTTTTGTTGCTGCTGTTGTTAAAGAATTAGAACCATGCATGATGGCACACACCTGTAATCCAAGTGCTCAGGAGGCTGAGGCAGGAGTGTTTTGAGTTGGAGACCATTTTGGGACTACATAGTGAATTTCCGTCTCAAAAAAACAACGAAAAAGAAATTTCAAAGCTGACCTGACTCAAGAGGCCTTTCATTAATTACTATTTGTGCCTGATGTTTAAAATTCTAAAAACTGGGGATAGGTGTGTATGTGTGTGTGTATTTTTAAATAAATTTTAAGTTTAAGTGTTGTCCTGTGGCCTGAGGTGTTTAGAGACTTGAGTCATTGTTGGTGATGCTTTCTTTAGTACACATGAACAGGTTTTTTTTTTTTTTTTTGCAAATGAGTCTCTCTTGTTTTTGCCACCTGTTTACTAAGCATAAAGAGGAAATTATATCCCAAATTTTCCCTTAATGCTGTGGTAAGGTTGCTGATTGAAATATCCATATCAGAAATGAAAAGCAAGTATGGGATGCTAAAGGCAGCCTGATTTTACCCATAAAACTCCCTCAGACTTAGGAGCATCTTAAGTAGTGACAGCTGTCCACATTCACAGTGTTCTTATACCAACGACCTGGCATTAAGGAACACAGGAGAGAATGACCAAAGGTAATCCGTGAGGTTATTTAAGGAACAGCTTTTCAGAGGCAGAGAGATCCCAGAGGAAAAAAGTACAGATTGGTGGGGCAAACAGGGCCCCCTGTCAATGTCTGTGTCTCCCTATGGAGCCCTGTGGCCTTTTAGGAGCCTAGAGATTTGTACAATATTCTCCAGAAATAATTTGTTCTTAAATAGTATGATTTTAATGAAAAATTATTTTTAAAATACTTAAGTGCATACTTAACAAAGCAACTTTAAAAGGTCACAGATTTCTCTAACAATAATAAGTTCCTGGAAGTGTCTGTTTTGACAGAATATTTTGACAAAACGTATTCTTACCCCGGGCTTTGTAATGTAGAACGTCTACTTCAGAATCTTGACAGTGTCAAGCAAGTTGTTTCTAGAATGACTTTTTTAATAGATCCTCTGTTTAGTGGGGAATATTTGTCTGCAAGTGTTTTGAACTTTACCTTGAGTACACACCTGGTTTGACTTTTTGTTTTTAATTTATCTCCTCACTAGCACAACCCACAGTTTCCTTTTTGGGGCTCTGGCAGAATTGCTGGACAATGCAAGGTAAGGTTTCTGTGAACAGAGGATCGATGGAATTACGTGTTATAAATCTAGTCTAGTTATATTTGAAGATAAAAATACAGGTCATTTTTTTCCCATTTGGAATGTTTTATGGTTTGATTTTCTAGAGAATAAAAATTCTATGGGTAAAGAAGAGATGAGAGAAGGAATTTTTCACCTTTATTTAATTTGTATTAATTATCAAATTTAAGTGCAGGTAAACTGGATTTCTGTTTTTGTTAATAACCATATCAAGCAGATACTCATTTGGAAATTGCTTGAGTTATATATCAGTGTACTTTGTCTTGAGAATTTACGTTTGTGGTTGAGCATTTATTAAAGTCTATATTGAAGCAAATTGTACAATTAAGATGAGAGTAGCTTTTTCTCACCTCTTATTATACATCAGATATACATAAGCATTTTGTGTTTTAGCTCTACCTCACTCATCTTTACAGCATCACTCTGAGGCAGGAATTGTTATTGTGGCTCTGCCCATATAGAATTTGGAGGAAAGTTAGATGGTTTATTAAAAGCTATACAGTTACTATTGGGTAGAGGTAGAATTCAAATTTATGCTGTGTAGCTACAGAACCTCAGCACCTCATGCTACTGTTTCTGACAAAGTAACTGAGGTTTAGGCAACCTCTTTAATAATTAAGATGCATTCAATGGAGTATTTTTTCATTTTCTTTCAGATAAGGCCTTGAATTTCTATTTAGCCCAGGTTGGCCTTGAACTCAAGATCCTCCTTCATTAGCTTCCCAAGTGCTAGGGCTACGGTGTGCCACCCACACCTGGGTTAGGACTTAAGTTTTTAGCTAAATTGCATATGGCATCTGACTTGTTTTATATTTGTATTTCCCTGTTACTAGGTTTTCACTACCTTCTTGTATAAAGCTAAGTCCACCCAGAGAACAACATGAAGTTGTTAGATCAGGCTCTCAGTCAGGAGGCCTAAATTTCCTACCACTGGCTAATAACAACATTTCAACTTTTTGCATTTGTCCCTCATTTTTTGGCCTTAGAAGGGAGATGGCCCTTCTGAGAGTGTGATCAGAGTCAGTTAAACAGCCATGCAGGGATTCCTGCCCAGTACTAAGTAAAAAGTTGCCCATCTTTTATGAAACCCTCTCTCTGTGGAAGTAATGGAATTGTAAAAAGAGGGATGGGGAGGGAGAGGGGAAGAGAAGAGAATAAAGTTGGTAGGTCAGGGTTGTCATGAACAGAGCTAACAGGGATGTGGCAAGGTAGATGAACCCTCATGTTCATTTTCTCTGCAGAGTTTTAAGGTGGCTACTGTTTCTGCTCAAAGACCAGAAGCAAAGATCCAATATCCATGGGTCCTGCCTGTTACTGAATGGTCCCATTTTTAGGAGCTTGACATCTCTGATTCTGCAAGAACATTTATTTATTTGCCAACTGTCTTTTCTCTTTCAAAGTTGTTTCATTCATTCATTTGGCAAAGGAGGACAGGTAAAATCAGAATGTAGCAGAAATAGAGCAATGGTTCAGTTTGCAATGAACTGTGGTTCAGCAATGGTTCAGCGACTGGAGAAGAAAGATTGACTTTAGACTCTGAGGAGTGAGAGAAATGTGATCGATAAAACAATTGTTGGAGAAGCATTTGTAAACTGGAAGCCCCTTGATCTGGTGGAGCCTGCACCATGTTTGTTTGGCTCACAGTCAAAGTTTGTTCAGTCTTTAGAAAGTAAGGTAGGAAAAAGGAATTGTTAGTAAAGTTTAAGAAATAGGAGGTACCACATGAAAAAGCCCGGATCTCTTGATTTCCTCTAAAGATTAGGAGAAGTAGCATCCTTGAGACCACATTCCTCTGTGGGGTCAGGGTCTGGAGGAGAGGAGAAAGTGCTCTCTTTGGACCAGGCAGTACCTTTGGCTTTGTCTCATTTCCATTGTTCCCTCAGGACAGCCTGACCCCCTCAGTTCCTCAGTGTCCTCAGAGGACACTTGTGTTTTTCTCCACTGCTTATATGCTTGTATTTGCCATCAAAAGGAGTCTTATTCTTCACCAAACTTATTTAAGATTCTCAGTTGGTTTCATGAAGGAAGTCTTTATAAAATCTCTATGTTATTTTAATGAATTGTTATACATCACTATAGTCAAAATTTTGATGATTTTCTATAGTAATGGAAATTAATACTGAAAGATATTAAGAGAATATCATAGTTAGAGGAGAACAAAATGTGTTAGTATAAGAAGGGCTGATTAGAGGCTTCCTCCAAATACAGCAGGTTTTCAAAGAGAAAGTGTCCTTGGCTAAACACAAAGGTATTTACAAAAGGTCTTAATATCCTGTAAAGGCATTATTATTTTATGCCTTCAGTCATGGAAGTTCTATGTGAAGAAACTGGTTCTTTTTTTTTAACTTCAGCTTTGGGCTGGTAAGGCAGCTCGGTGGTAGAGCACTTCTATCTTCAGCATGAGGTATTTGGGTTGATCCCTAGCACCACAAACAGAACACAAAAAACTTCCATTTCAACACAGTGGCATTTATTAGTCCCTTATTTTGTATGTGATACTTTGTATAATGCATAATTGTATTGATTCCTAGGTGTCATAAGATTGTGATAAGGATTAGAAAGAAATTTTTAAAAATACTGCATTTGGGGTTTACTTGACACACACGAATTCTTCATGAGATGATGGGTTACTCCAGAATTTCTGTATAAGTGTTTAGAAACAGCAGTTGAAAAGAGAAAGTAGCTATAACAGACTAAGTTCTAGACTAGTAGAGCAAGTATAGTGTACCTATTCTGATGTATTTGGGGTATTTTGTGTGTCACATGGATGGAAATTTGGGGAGAGGCTCAAGGTTCTCCATCAGAGTTGCACTATTTGTACTGAGCTTCCTTTTCTTTGCCCAGGGCCTTGTGCATTGTAGGCAGGCACTCTACCACTGATCTACATCTCCAGTCCTTAGCTTTCTTCAATCATAGCCAATATGTAAATGAATGGGCATGATTGTGCTCCAATAAAACTTCACTTACAAAACAGTTGGTGACCAAATTTGGCCCATAGGCCATATGTTCCTACCTCTAACCTAGAAAAAAGCCTTTATTAACCTTTTGATTATTTGCTCCATATATATCATACGTATATATGTTCACATATATGATAAATATGCATATGTTTTAAAACTGTAATCATATAGTATATATTGCATAGTAATTTGCTTTTTTCGCTTTTTTTGAACTTAAGTATTTCATGAAAATCATTCTATGGCTTCTGATTATTTTCCAGTCAGTTCTGAATAAAGACCTACTATATAAATGAATACTGAATATTCATATTCATTTTCTTGAGCTTTTTGAGTAACTACCACTAAATTCCATCTCTTTTAAAATTTCTAAGTTTCAGCCTTTGCAACATTCTCAAATTATGAGTGATGATAGTTCTTCGTATACAAATGCACAGTGAAATATTTTGGTAATTGATTTTGAAACAATTTAAGTAGATTTTTGTATAGTTTGATATCTGACAATAAGTTATACCTCACATAAGCAATTCAGATTATTGTAATTTTTAAATCATAATTTCACATGGAAGCAATGATATTTTTATATTGTTTCCAGAGATGCAGGGGCTGCAAGACTTGATGTATTTTCAGGTGAGCACAGATTTCCTTTCTTCTTTTTTTTCTTCTAATGGAAAAGCCTGTAGCTATTTTGCTTTTATTTTATTCATAAAATCAAACCACATTCTATAGATTTTTTTAATGTAATCTAAGTGCTTTGTGAGTACAGTGGCCCTGTGGGGAGGCAGATTGAGAATAGTATACTCTCAGAGTCAAATTGTTCACTTATTAGAGGACCCATTTGCAAAATTAGGTCTTCTAGAGTTTTGTGAAGCACCAGAGTGATTTGGAGCACTGAATTTGTTTGCCATGAGAAGCAGTTTGATTAAAAAACATATTAACTTAATGGTTATTCATAATTAAGTGTACATCATTTCCAACTTATCACAGTTTTAAAATGCATGAGTGAATGTGCAGTATGAATGCCTGAGTACTACAAAATTCAAACCAAATATGTTTTCTTTATTGACTTCATTTGTAGCCTCCAAGTATTTATTGTACTTATTAGTTAATCTCATCCATCAGAATACGGTGCTAATGACATTGGTTCTTTGATGCAGCTCTGTAGTTAACACTACCTGGAGAATTGCCCATAGTGGTAACACTGCTTCCCTACTCCAATTCTGTCAGCATTTTGGTTATTGGTCACCCGTGAGATGCTATGGTCCATGATGTTAATCCATATCTGTACTAAAAGGCAACTCAGTTGAGTTCACTTTTCTGAGCATTTAAGATCTGAGCCAGTTGAGTGCTTACGGTTCATGAGAGAGATAGACATTGGCGTTTTGAGATATTCGAGGAGACATTAAATGACATAATTTTTCAACTTCTACTTTCCAGATTCTGAGAGATTAGAGGAATAAATGAAAGAATCAGTCTCTTATCACTGATAAATATTAGGTTGGAGTGGGTAGCTTTTGTGTGAGAGCTTGGACTTGATTAATCCTAGGATCAGGCTGATAAGAGCCCAGTAGATTCGGCCTTGTTCAAAACTGCCCTGGGGAGAAGGGAGCAGAACTCATGCTCTTTACTGGCAGTTTTTTACTCCCAAAAAGAAAAGGAAAACTTGGAACTGAGTCCTCTTCCTCCTTCCTCCAGTTTATTCTTCCCTAAGTGACCAGAAGGATGAGGGAGCTCAGCTCAATAGAGGAACCATGAGTCAGAGTAGAGTTCCTTTCACGGAGAAAAAGTGGCTTCCCTTTCATATTCAATTACAGATGTTCCTCAGCTTTCAGTGGGAGTTTTGTCCTGATTAACCAGCTGTAGGTTGAACATAGCATAAGTACAAAATGCACTTAGTGCATGGAAACTACTTGACATCATAGCCCAGCAATACATACAGTACACCTATCATTGTTTATCCTTGAGATTGTATGGCTGGCTGGGAGCTGTGGTTCATTGCCCAATGTCACCTGACAGTATCCTAGGCATATTGCTGGCCAAGGTAAAGATAAAATTAAAACTTGAAATGTGGTTTCCATTGTATGTATAGCTTTCTCACATTATCATAAAGTCAAAAATTCATTATGTCACATCTTCAAAAGTCAGGGACCATTTGTATATGGAGTAAACTATGATCAGTATCTCTTACCTGGGAGAGAATCAGAGTGTAGTAGGAGCACAGAAAGAAGAAACTGTGCTTCATAGTAAGGAGCTATGGCTTGAAATATGGATGTGATTTTTGTCAAACAGTTTAAGAAGAAAAGAATATTATTTTAGAGGACAGAAGGTGCTAGGGATCAAACACAAGCCCGCTGCTATTGACCCACATCTTCAGGCTTAAGAATAGTCTTGCATAAATAATTATTATGAGAAAGGGGATGGAGGAAGACCAGTTCAGAGATGTATTCGTTTATTCAGTAACAGTTTATTGATTTTCTATTATCCTAGTATTCTATTATTGAGTTATTATTCTAATAATTTATTGAGCTTCTGTTATTCTAGGTGCATGGGACAGAACATTGAACAAAATGGTGAAGTCTGCACTGTCATAGAACATGCATTCCATTGGAGAGAGTTGGACATAAAGAAATGAACAAATACATAATGTACCAGACAATAATGAGTTCTAAAGAGGGAGTGGGATTAGAGAACAAAAAGTGACAGCGTGGGTGTGTTAAGAAGCATGGAGTGTCTAAGAAGGTTTCTCTAAATAAATGATATACCAACCAGCCAAGACCTGCATAATGTGAGAGGAAGAGCCGTGGAGATACCTGGAGAGGAAGCCTGCAGGGAACAATGATGAGGCAGGGTTGGCCACAACTATGCATTACAGCCAATAGTGACATAATGAACACTAAGGCTGTTTTTCCGAAATCAGTGGAGCACTGAAGAATTTTGAGCAGTGTCATTCCCTTAAGCAGACATGTGCTCTTTCCCCTTTCAATCTTTTTAAATTAACATACTCCAGTAATAGCATACAGGATCATCTGTATGCTAAAGCAGGGATATGAAAGTATGAAAGAGGGATAGCAGTAAGGTGCAGATATGGAAATTACCTAAGTAACATTTCATAGGATTTTGACGTAGGTCTGTGATCCCAGAAATGGAGACGGGAGAAATGGCGTTTTATTCAGAGCATGTGCCCTGTTGAGGAGGAGCTGAAAAGCCTACCGAAACCACAGAGAACAACAAATGCACTCAGTTTTCACACACTGTATTCTTCTGGGTGTGTGACAGGATGCCAGCAAGGAAGGGGAACGTTCATGTCACTCCACTGTCCTGAACACCCCAGTGTTATCATGAGCAAACAGAATAGGATCTTGGTGAATTAGGGATGAAAGTGGCATTTCTTTCTTTTCTTAGCCTATATGTATTTTGTGAAAAAATGAACTTAGGGATTTTTGGATTTAAATGACCTATTTATAACTTTTTTACTTTATTTTTAGTTTGCATATAATAGTTGTATGGGGTGATACACTGTGATATTTACATATGTGCTTATATTATATCTTAATTAGATTCTCTACCTCCATCTTTCCCCTCATCCTCCCTTCCCCTCTCTTAGAACAATTTCAACAAGTTTCATTGGTCATACACAGATAGAAAATATATAGATCATATTTGCCTTCCTTCACCCTCTCTGTCTACCCTCCCGTGTCCCACTGATGCCCATCCCTGGCCTAGACCTGTTTTACCTTCCTTCATGTTTCAAGAGTATATTTATTTTTCAAGGGGGTTTTGCCTTTGTATTTTCAGACGTGTATATATCATGCTTTATAACTTTTTTCTATTGCAACAAACCATTGCACAGCTATCGATTTTAAAATTGATTTTCTTTTTTTCTTTTATGGTACTGGGGTACAAGGCTTTGCCCTTGTTAAGCAGGAGCTCTACCACTTGAGCTACACCTCCAACCTTTTTTGTTCTGGTTATTTTGGAGATAGGATCTTGCTTTTTGACTAGGCCAGCCTCGACAATTCTCCTATTTTACACTCTTCACCATTGCTGGGAAAACAGGCACATGTCACTGCACCCAGCTTTTTTCTCTTGAGATGGGGTCTTGTTCAGGTTGTCCTGGAGCCATGCCATTCTCTTGATCTCAGCCTCCTGACATAGCTTGGGATGATAGGTGCACACCATTACTATTGCTTGAGAAAGGGTCTCGCTAACTTCTTGTCCTGGATAGTCTTGAACTGTGATCCCCCAATCTCAGCCTCCCAGGTAGGTACGATTACAGGCATGAGCTATCAGTGCCCAACTACCAATTGATTTTCTAAAAAAAAAAAACTTAAAGGCAGGGCTGATGCTTAATACACATAAATAGAATTGTTCTGGGATGTGTAGTTAATCTAAGATTGGAATAGTTTTCAAATGATTTGGTGAGGCCCTAAATTACTCTCCAATTAGTTTCCTTCAAGCAATTTGAGAACTGTAAAATTCAAACTATATTTGACCATGGTGTTTTATATATCTGTGTGAATTAGTGCTAGTAAAGACAGAGATATACTGAATACATTTTTTTCAGGATGTAACAAGCCAGGTATGGTGCTAAATGCTTACTACACACTGTGCCTACCTTTAAGGCATTAGAATCCTAATGTGGGAGTCCATGGAAAATGTAGCATGTGTCTACAATTTCATGGGTAGAGGGGCCTATAGCTTTTGTCTTGTCTCTGACACAACTGTGTTCCAAAGTGTTCTCTTTCAGAACCAGTGGTCTGAAAGAGAAATAGACACATAAGAATGTGTTTTAATATACTATAAAAATGAGAAGATACAGGTCAAGAAAAGAACATTCATTCTGGGACCTACTGATGTGGAGGGATTAGGAATGTTTTTAGAAGTCTTATATGAAGTCACCTACAGGAAAAATGGACATTCATCTGGTGAATCAGACAGGGAAAGGATGAAGGGGTTGGGTGCACAGTGCCTTGAATCTGAGGAGAACATGGAAAATATGTTTGAGATATGCAAGATGAGTTCAAGGGAAGTATGTGTGGGAGAGAAAGGTGGCAGTACAGGCAAGTGAGGGGATGACCAGGGTTGAGCTTGGAGAGGTAGGAGGGCGTCATGAGGGACAAGCAGGATTTACTGTGTGGTTTGAATTTTTTCCTGAGAACACTGGGAAGTCATACCATTGGAGCGTTTTCTCAGGAGAGTAGTGACATGCATAGCTGAATGAAAACTTCCTTTGATTTTAAGGAGAGCAAGATATTAGAGAGTTATTGTTATAAGCCAGAAAAGAAGCGTTGATTTCCTGACTTAAAGGAAATAGGGGGATAAAGAGAGTGGTCAAATCACAGAGACATTAAGGAGGTAGAATTGAGAAAACTGATGATATTTGCCTGTGGGGGTGTGTGTGAGGAGATGGAGAACTTAATGATAGTTGCTAGGTTTTGATTTAGGAAGCCAAAGCCTAATGCAAGGTGCCATTTATTGAACAGGGAGCACTAGAAGAAGGAGTAAGTCTCATGAGGGTGAAGAATGTGTTTGGTTATTTTTGGACTTGCATAATAAAAAGGTGATAAAAATCTATCTAAAATCCATAGTTTTAATGAATTGAAATAAAGCCAAATTTCAGTGTGGATAGTAGGGATTATTTTATTTTGAGGCTATATATGTTTGTGTATGTGTGTGTGTGTGTGTGTGTGTGTGTGTGTGTGTGTATAGTACTGGAGTTTGAACTCAGAGCGTACACCTTGAGCCACTCCACCAGCCCTTTTTTGTGATGTGTTTTTCAAGATAGGGTCTCATGAGCTATGCCTGGACTGGCTTCAAACTGTGATCCTCCCTGCCTTGATTATGGTAGATGGTTTTACAGGCATATATACATATATGTATTATCTTAATATGTATGTTATGTTATATATGTCAAAATTTGTCAAGTTATATACTTTAAACATGCTAGCTTATTGTGCATAAATTGTTCATTAATAATTAATTATTTACTAAAAAAGCAATTGCACTAGGACTTATATATCCAACTGTTGCAGTTATTTTCAGAGCCAGTTTACAAACTGGATTAAAATTAATCCAATTAGTTTTAGTTACACCTTTAATTTTTTTTAACCCAGAAATTATATTATGTCATTTAATGGTATCTGTTAATCATTAAAATTGATTTCAAGTAACAGCCATTTTCAAAAATCAAATTCATCTTCAAGTGACAAATATTTGCTGCTCCAAAGAAACACTCATGAGAGGCTCTTATGGGAATTAGTTTCTTAGAAGGGAGCCTGATGAATTTAATAAGAATGGCCTAGATTTGTTTTAGAATTAGTGCCTTGGTGGAAGGGCACAAAGGTTGATCAGTTTGATAGAGAATCGTAGGGTCACATCTCCATCTACCCTTTTCCACCCCTAGGGAAGAAATACCTGAAGTTTCAAATACCAGTCCAATTCCAAAGCAGCGCATGTCTTGCTATATGCATATTTATTAATGTGTAGATGTTTTATATGTTAATTTAAAGCCTTTTTGTGTTGCATGATTATTTTCCCCTGCAGTTTCTTAGGAAGCTGTGGCCAAGACTCCATTCTGAGCTCCATCATTGTGCCATAACTCTGTCACTCTGTGGCTGCAATTGAGGAGGATGGATAATTATGTGAGCAGCATGACTTTCTGACGAACAAATTAAGCCCAATATTTATTAGTAATAACTGCTTTCTCTTACAGTGGATAATGAAAAACTGCAGGGTGGATTCATGTTGTGCTTCCTGGATGATGGATGTGGCATGAACCCTGGTAAGTTAATTATCTAGATATCTAACTGGCTGTTATAGGAAACAGTCTGAAGAGCCATAAAATAAATAAAAATAAATTGAACTATCTACTCAAAAACAGGTATAGAGCTATTAGGAAAAATAAACCCCAGACTTAGATTATTTTTGAAGTTTTTAGGTTTTTAGGTTTAAATATTCCAGCTGGCAAAGTAAATTCATTGTAATCATCTAAACCAAGACAAAAAAGTGGGTGTAAATAAATATTGTCAGAAAAATGAAAGACAAATGGTCTGATTTTAAGAAAAAAATCACCTTGGGATGAATGGAACACAAATAGTGCTGTCTGTGATTGTTTTCAGTCCATCCTTTAGCTGTTTCTTACAAGAGCCCCAAGGCAGTTTCCAGTGCCTTTAGGCTGTTAGTAATTTTCTGCATAACCTTGAGGTAGAGGTTGTTTCTCCTTGTTTTTAGCATTTTGTTGTTTTTTTTCCCTGCATGTTCAAAGGTTTATTTGCTTCAAATCACACGTCTACAATATATTCCATGACTTAACTTTGCATAAAGTTACCACAGGGGAGAGCTTCTGGAGAGCTGAACACATGGAACATCATTAGGGTGGACAAGAAAACATTTGCATGCAGGGAGGTGGTGTAGCACCAAGTCTGAGACAACTGCTGCAAATACTGATTCCTAAGCAAGGAACTGTTTTTAAACAGTGTATCGGAATTCCTAAATTCTTGATTACTAAATTCTGGGGATTGAACCCACCTAACCCACTCATGCATGTTAGGACTTCTTCAAGTCACTGTGATGTGCTCATACACTGTGCCTTCAAGAGAAGTTTGAGATGTGTTGCTTTTCCCAAACTTATTAAACTGAGAAATCCTGCTTTCTGAAATCATCTCATGAGACTTGAGTTTTTGAAATACACTTGGGACTCTTAAACAAGGAGAAATGACCCATGGAGTACAACATCCTCAGTGGGAAACAATTCCTTGGTATCCCCTTGTCAATTTTGTTAAGAGATAATAATCTGTGTAGGCTCATAAAAACCTCATAAGAAAGTAAGAGACAACAGCTAGGTGTGTTGTGACATACCTGTAATCCCAGTACAGTAGGCTAAGGCAGGAAGATTTCAAGTTCAAGGCCACATCAGCTCAATAAATAAATAAATAAATAAAAGTGGGGAATAAAACAGAAAAAGAAAAAAAGAAATGAGAAGAAGTAATATGAACAATCTAGGAGTAAGGAGTAAATATCTTCATAGCCAAAGTTAACAATGCAGACACCATCAAAGATAAGACAGATGTTTGACTAATAAACACTTTTATATGGTTAAAAAATAAAGTTAGTAACACATAATAAAAAGTGAAGTTAGCCAGCACATAATAGGTGCACAGTTCAAATACTGTGCCATCAAAATGTTATTCCCCCTGATAGGGCTTTGAGTTGTTTTCATATCATCTTCTTGAATTCTTATGACACTTTATGTCCACAAGATAAGCTGTGACCACTATGCTTAAAAATGGTGAGGGAGTTCAAGTTGTGGAAATGTTTTGGTCAGTTGCACTTGTGAAGTAAGGATGATCACTGATGATGACAGAAGCTGAGAATACAAAGTAAAACAGTTTTCTTCTTCCAGTGTTGAAGTCCCCTTTTGGTCTGCATTCATTATCAAAGACTATTAACAAGTTTAGAAAATGATCCACTGTCCCACCCAGTTCTTGTTCTGACTTTGTTTAGATAATTTTGATTTTTCCAGGTCATTTTGATTAAAGTTCTTTTGATTCTTCAATGTTTAAATATGAGAAGGTAAAGCTATTGTAAGAAAGCCATAGTGAAGTAATAGTCTTATTTTTCACATCTAGCCTGAATGTTCATGTCCCTGAATTCTTAACGTAAGTGACAGAATATATGTGATATAGTCTGAGGGAATTCCTTATTAAAAAGAAGCAATTCTTTTTATGTAGGTCATGAACAAATTGAGAAAAACACAGACAAATATTCAGACCTTCAGAAGGAAATCACACTTCAGTTGACATACAGATAGTCCCTGTCTCTGACGATTTACATTTTTTTTTGACTTTGCTACAGTGCTAAGTGACTGTACTTTGAATTTTGATCTTTGCTTGGGCTAGCACTGTGCACCAGAATACCATCTTGTGATGCAGAATGACAGCAAACCCCAGCTGTCAGTCAATCACATGACTGTAAAGGAAATAACCATGCTCTACGGTGTCTGTGTGGCTAAGCTATGATGTCTCGTAGTTAGGCATATTAAATGCATTTTCTACTTTTGATATTTCCAATTTGCAGTGGGCTTATTGGGACATATATAACCCTATGGGAAGTCAAAGGAATGCTTTTATATAGTAATAGAAAAAAACAGTATTGAGAGAGAGCAATTCCTAATTACCATTGAAACCAAGCAGTAAGTTAGAGAGTTTATCTTATGACTGAGAATAGAACTTTTCTGTTGTCAACACACCTAGGTCAATCTTGATGCCATAGAAGATGACTACAATAATTCCTAAATAAATTTCTAAATAATTTTGTTCCCTCCAGTCTTCTATCACCCATTCTCCATCTAGCAACCTTTCTTTTAATGTAAATGTTATAGTATTATTTTTCTGTTGAAAACTCTCAGTGATTTTCCATTGCCTGAGAATAAGATGTGGGTGGTGGAGTGGCTCAAAACTAGAGTGTCTCTAGCATGCATGAGGCCTTGAGCTGAACCCCCAGTACCTCCAAAAAAAGAGAATAAGATGCACACTCCCTGGCTTCATCTTAAACATCTTGTATTATTTGGTCCCATCCACCTTTTTAGCCTTCTCATACTGCTTACTTTCTTGCTTACAAAACTCCATTCACAACTGACTGGACCCTCATCACATGAATCTCACTGCAGATAGACACATGTATGCAGGACACATTTCTTTGATTCTGTATCATATTACCTTGGTTTTGTTTCCTTCACTTCCTCCTCTTAGAAATGATCTTTTTTTGTGTGTGTTTTATTAGTATATATTCATTATACAGGGGATTTGTAGTGACAATTTCAATTAGACTTACATTGTACATTATTTACCTTGCCCCCATCGTCTCTCCCCCTCAATCCTTCCCTGGCCCACTTAAAGCAATTGCAAGAGGTTTCTTAGTTCTGTTTCATATGGTATATGAAGTCCATCTACCATATACTGTCTCCTTATTCTCCATCATTCACCTTCCCCCCTCCCACTAGTACCACCCCACACACACTGTACCTATTTTACAGTCCTGGTTTTTGTTATTAATATTTAAGTTGATGTTTAAAGGGGTGTCAGAAATGATCTTATTTTTGTCTGTTTTCATTCTGTTTCTCTACTACAACATAATACAGATTATAATATCTTCCTTGTAAGTTTGATGTACATATTAGACAGGCAATGCATATAAAGCCTATAATGTAGTTCATAGCATGCACTAAGCAGTGGCCAAATGAGAGCTTACATCGTCATCATGGATACCCTCACTTGAGGTTCACCCCTTATGAAAACATGATGCACATACATTTAGCTTTAGATTAACAGGGTGCCTGGAGGCCTTTACGCACTCCATACCAGATGTCACTAAACTATAGCATGTCTGTACCCACATTGACACAGAGTCCTGAGGGTAATTCTAAAACATACTAATAAGAATATTCTTGGTTATGGAGGTCAGTGTATTCTGAAATCCAGAGAATTCCTTCCTAGAATTCTGAATGCCCAGAGAGATCAGGAGAATGACTTTGAAAGTCTAATAGAAGTCCTTCTTAGTATCAGAAAAGAAGCTTCACATGAACCTGAATAAGGCCCAATCCATGTGAAAATTACTAGTGATACAAATAATTAAAACATTTTTATAATCCATTAATACTTATTAAGTAAGTACGAAGTATTGGGTGCAGAGTTTCACAAATAGTTCATCTTATTTAATTTGTTTCATTGATTTCCATCAATAAATCTGTGGCAGAGTAATAGCAGTTCCCTCTTAGAGCCAAGGTCACGTGCTTTGGTCTGTCTAGCCTCCTTCGGTACAATACCAATAAGATCCTTGTCAGTGCATGTGGATCCTGGCATGAATCTTTACCTCTGTGCTGACTCCAGAGCAATGGACTTGTTCTAATGTCCTGAGGTATGTGTGAGTGCTTGATGACTGGACCTCAGGCAAATGCAGAGGCTGATGGGAGTGTGAAGATGGAAGTACAACATATGCATGGATGAACTAGAATAAAAAATCCCATTAAAACTGTAAAACATTAAAAATTGTTTGTAAAGGTGTGGTGAGATAAGAAAGAGTTTTTAAAAAGTCTATTAATTACAGAGGAAACTTCAGACATCATTTACTTTGGAACATCCAAGAAACAGTTATCAACTTTGAAGTTCATTGGGCAATATGGCAATGGGCTTAAAAGGTGAGATTTTTTTCCCCAATAATAGGTTATTATTGGTACTGGAAATATCAATCATTATTGATACTGGAAATATATTATTGATACATTATTGATATTACTGTTACTGGAAGTAAGTTGGAAGACAGTCTTTTATAGAATGATGCAAGTGTATAGTGCTTTCAAAAGAGTATAAACTTGGGGAGAGTTTTATCTTGTTTTGGAATCTCCATACCCATAACTGACTTGGATCTTTACAATATTTTAAAAATTAATTCTCACATAATAAGCTTAATCTTCTTGCAAGCACTCCAGTGCCTCTGGACTGTAGAACTTCATTGCTTCTCTATATTCTGTTGTTTCTTGGTCCATTTTAGCCTAGGTGTTGTGTCTACAGTTTTTTTTTTTAGTTTGCCTCAGTGAGAAGTGAGGACTGAGGCTCCTGCCAGAGCCTAACAGTTGTTCTTTTGAGCTCTGGATAGAACTTGATCCTAGCAGCCATGTCTCAAGCAGGAGTGTGGGAGTGGATCCATTAAAATTCATTGGCTCTACTTTGAAAAGTAAAATAATAATTGTACCCTCTTGGTGATGGGTCAACGAGATAGCTTATTGAAAAAACAGCTGTTACAGTAAACAGAATCATGCCTATTTGTTCTTTATTAGTGTCTGAGATATAAATCATTATGCTCCTCATTTTTAATACAGTGGGTCCATGAGAATTGGAAAAGACTTCATCCTTTTTACAAAGAAGGAAGAAACCATGACCTGTCTATTTTTTTCTCAGACATTCTGTGAAAAAGAAGGTCTTACTGAGGTAAGATTTGAGGGTTTCCTTTCATTTCAACGGCAACAGGGTTGTTTTCATTCTCTCAGGAGGTGAAGTCTGCCATGACTTCTTTCCAATTATGATTTACAAATTTAGGCATATATTTGAGGCATAGAGAGAAAGAATCTGTACATTCTGGAGTCATTGGAGGCTTTCTTGAAAACTTTTTCATTCTCCCTGTGCTCAAATCTCCAAGGATAAGAGGCTCTCTTTGGTGTGCCAAAGAGACTTCTGGAAAAACCTTGCAAATCTTTCTACAACTTGTGCCATATTTATTTTTAAAATAAATAGAATCTTGGAGTCAGAGACTTAGAATGCAAAATATAATAAAATTGAACACAAAAATAGATCTAACACTGTAATTGTAGTGGTCACAATTTCAATCTCATTTGCTGACTTGTACAATTTTACTAGTTTGCAGTGCCTGAATTCTACTGTTATGAATGTCAATTTATAATTCAATATGCCATATATACTTTGAGGAGCCACTGTCTGTTCTGTAATTGATAGGTTCTGTAGAAAGTACAAAACCAGCTGAAGACTATGTGTCCACCAAAAGTTTTAACCTTATCACAAAATAAGGCAACCACATAAGATTGGATAAATAATAAAATGAGAGTGCTCAAAAAAAAAATACTGTTCAATGAGTATGTGTGGCTGTTATTACTAACTTGTCAGAAGCAAGGGGTCAGAAAGCTCCAGGTAGCCAATGAAGTTTTATGGAGACATTACAGGCTGATGATCTAGACAGGCTGATGTGTGGAGAGAGATGGCTCATGGTCAGGCATGGAGATGTGTGTGGGGTTTGAAGAGACAATGTGGAGGTGCAGTGTTGCTGTTGGGGGTGGAGCTGGACAACAGGAGCAGACTGTAGGTTGTAAGGAGCGATGGAAGGCAACCTGACATGAGGAAAAGCAGCTTTGTAAGCTGTTATTGTGGACTTGATACATGTAGAAGTATGAGAAATTGAGCTGGATCTGAGCTGAGATGATAGCTTCTCTAAAACGAACCAATTTTTTTTCTTTTCTTTCTTTCTTTCCTTTTATAAAGACTACCATTTCCAGGTCTACATAGGGAACTTCTTCAAACAATAATAGCTGATATATTTCTCCATATTTACCTGCAGATCCTAAGTAGTATGCTTGCATTGCTACTTTTTGTTTTTATTGAAGCATTCCCTTTCAACCTGACATTATAAAAGAGAATTTAGCTACCTTTTCTCTGCCCCTGTCATACATACACGGCCTTCTCATCCTTATTCTAGCTGTCATAATTGTGGTTATGCCAGTGTTCAGTCTGTTCACATTATACCATGTCATAAACTATTATTTTTATTTTGGACAGCTTTTTATTTCTCCTGGAATTAATAATTGCTTATTTTTCTGTGTACTTATCACCACCACTGAATGTTTGCTTAGTTTTGTCGTTTGTATCACTCCATTAACTCCACACTCAAACTCCTTTCTTAAGAGCTCCATCTTCCTGGTAAACTCTGCTCTGGAGCTTTCTTGCCTGCTTAACCTCACCCCCTGCTACCATGGCCGCTGGTCAGCTGCCATTCTGGGATCTGCCTTTGCCATCGTCCTGTGTGCCAGATCTCAGGTCTTTGATCCTGTATCTCCTGTCTTCTTTCAGAGGTTGCTCCCTCTTCTTAGTGCAACTTATTCTGCACTTATTTCCTGAGCAAGCATGCATGGGAGACAACAGGTTTCAAGACCTCACGTGCAGGAAATATTCTTAGTCTACCTCTGCACTTAATGATAGTTTGTCTTGGTATTATTTCTAAATCTTGATGGTTTTGAAGGTATTGCTCCATTATCAAGTTTCCTTATTTTATTTTGATATATCATATATTAATAATACAAGAGGATTTTATTGTGATACAGTGTATACATGTATACAAGTTGAACAAGTTCACCTCCTTATTTATATTTTCAGTCCTCACCTCCTTTGTTTCCCCCTCTTTCAAACAATGTTTAGTGAGTTTAATTATGCTACCTTCATATGTATATAAGCATCCTCTTTACCCCTCACTTTTCTTTCCTTTCCTCTCTCCCTACTGCTTCTTTTCCTCCAGACATTCCTCCACATACCTTCATATCCCATCATCATCATCATCATCATCATCATATCATTTTAGATCTAGACTCCACAAATGAGTGAGAACATGCAATATTTGGCCTTTTGAGCTTGACTTATCTTGCTCAGCACAATGATCTCCATTCCATTCATTTTCCTGCAAGTGACATAATTTCATTTTCCTTTATGGCTGAGTAATATTCCATAAAAATATATGTATATATCTCCATTCATTGGTTGTTGGGCACATCAGCTGATCCCACAGTTTGGCTATTGTGAAGAGAGCTGCAATAAACACAGGTATGCAGGTATCTCTCTTGTATATTGATTTGAACTCCTTTGTATATGTGCCCAAGAGTGGTATGGCAGGGCCATAAGGTAGGTCTATTTTTAGTTTTTTTCAGGAACCTCTATACCGACTGCCATAGCGGTTGCACTAGTTTACATTCCCACCAGCAGTGTGGGAACACTGTTCTTTCCCCATGTCCTCATCAGCATTTGTAGTTTGTTTTCTTGATGAAGGCCAATCTGACTGGGGTGAGATGGAATCTCAGTGGAGTTTTGGTTTGCATTTCCTTTATGGCTAAAGATGCTGAACATTGCTTCATATATTAGGCATTTTTATTTCTTCTGAGAACTGTCTATTCACTTGCATATTTGTTAATTGGATTATTTGTTCATCTGCTGTTTAGCTCTTGGAACTCTTTGTATATTCTGGATATTAATCCCTTATCTATTGAATAGCTGGTGAAGATTTTCTTCCATTCTGTAAATCTCTTGACTCTGGTCACTGTTTCTTTGGATGTGCAGAAACTTCTTAATTTTATGCAGTCCCATTTGTCAGTTGCTCTTATTTCTTCAGCAGTTTCCTCCAATTCAGAAATAAAGACCTGTGCCTATATCTTCTAATGTTTTCCCTGTTTTTTTCCTGTAGTTGTTTTAGTGTTTTAGATCTTTTGTTGAGATCTTTGATCCATATAGAGTTGATTTTTGTGCAGGGTGAGAGATAGAGTCTGGTTTCAATCTTCTCCATTAGTAAGTTGCTAGTGTTACTGAGAAATCCAAAGCCATTTAATTTTATTCCTTAATCTCCTCTCCCCTCTTTGTGAAAGTGAAAAGAAGCTTTGTCCCCAGGGCTCTGCTTTCAGTATTTTACCTGTGTGTCTATGTACATCCTTTGTACTAGGCACATATGAGATTTTTTTTCAGTCTGGAAACTCACATTCTTTAATTCTGGAGTAGTTTTCTGTAATATTGATGGCTCTTTCCCAATGTATTCTGTTTTCTGTCCTTTTGCAATAATTAGTTTCCAGTTCTTGAACTTCTGGAAATGGGTCTTTAATTTTCTGAGCTTTTCTCTCCCATATTTTGTATTTGTATTTTTGTTTTGTTTTCTGGGAGTTTTTTTATATTCAAATTCCTTCATAGAATTTTTATCTGTAATCATACTCAATTTCTGAAGAAGTCTTTTTTATTCTCTCAGTGGTCTTTTTTCAAAGATACCCAGTTTTTATTTTATGGAAACAGTATTTTCCCTTATAGCTCTGAAGATTTTTTTTTCTTTTTTATTTACATATATTATTTGAACAAAGAAGTTTCATTGTGATATTTCCATACATCCATACAGTAAACCTTGATCAAATTCATTTCTTCTATCCCTCCCTCTTTTCTTTTGTGTACAGAGAATTGAACCCATAGCCTAACACACGCAAGGCAAATGCTCTATCACTGACCTACATCCCTAACTCTTGTTTATTTTTTTAATTTTGAGACAGAATTTTTGGGACAGTACTGGGGTTCAATTTTGAGACAGTACTAGAGTTTGAGCTCAAGTGGTCCAGCACTTGAACCATGCTCCCAGCCCATAGATAGGGTCTCGTTAAGTTGCTCAGGCCTCAAACTTGGGATACTCCTGCCTCAGCCTCCCTAGTAGCTGGGGTTGCAGGTGTGTGCTGCCATGACTAGTTTAAATGTGAAGACTATAACAATAATTTTTTTTCCTTGAGATTTTCATTTTCCTCTGATGGCTTCTGTTTCCATCAAGTTGCTTTGTTTATATTTGTTTATTTGGTTTCTGTTTATCACATTAGAGGCTCTTAGATGGCTATCAATCCTGAAGACTTCAAAGATTAGTCCAATAAAATGCATGTTAAAAGCTCCTGAGGTGGGATTTGGCAGCTGCGAATGTCACAATGATGTGATTTAATTAAGCTGTTTGGGGAACCTTAAGTGTAGTTTTCTTTAGGTCTGGTCAGATTTCCAAGAGAAGATCCATACAGCCTTCTGCCTGAAGACCTAACCTTCTGGGAGGCTAACACAGGAAGACACTGGGGTTCTCAGCATCTAATGTGCACATTTTCACCTGATCCTTCTAATCTCAGTAAGGTCTCCTAACAACAGTGCCAATATGTCTTCTATTCCAGAAGTACATTGTTCTGCTTTTTCCAGAGAATAAACACCCAGGGTCTGTGGGCAGGGGAGGAGCTGTTGCCAGATGTGATCTAGATACAGCTGGGGCTCTCAGGCATCAATCTGAATTGTAAATCAGGCTGGCTCCTCTCTTCGGCAGGATTTTGGATCCTATTTCTTGGTATGCTGTCATCTACTTTTCAACTTCTAAAGTGCCGATACTGTTGTTCTGTCTGCCATTCTAACAATCTTGCAAGACGAAGCGGAGGTAGACTCCATCTGTCCCCACATTCCACAATGGAGAATTTAAAACTAAAACCTTAAGTGTATTTGTCATCTGTCTCTTCCTTACAAAACAACAACATGGAAAAAAAATAAACTTTTAACTTTGTGTTTTATAATTTGAATGAAAAGTAGAATGAATTAAGATCAAACAAAAGGATAATGGGGTTTTTTTGTATGTGTATATTTCATAATAAATTGATGTGTGTGTGTTTTTTTAATAGGTTGTAGTTCCAATACCTTCATGGTTAACAAGAACCAGAGAATCTGTCACAGATGATCCCCAAAAATTCTCAACAGAATTATCTATAATTTATAAATACTCTCCATTTAAAAATGAAGCTGAATTGATGCAGCAATTTGATATAATCTATGGAAAATGTGGTAAGATCATCAAAACTAAATTTTGATAGAAGTATTTTAGTGTCTTATGAAAGACTCTACATATGCTTTCATATTTTTGTATTAGTAATCTCACATGAGGGCAGTCATTCATTTTACCCATAGGAGTTTTGTCTTAAAAGATTCCAAACATGAGTTACTATAAATTCCTGACCCAAGGAGAAAGAGCTGTGTACCCCTCATGGAAAAGATGGTGCAGGCTGTGACCACAAGGACTCCCCAGTCCCTATACCTTAGAGCAAAGTTCGAAGATGCTCCTTGCCTCATCTCAGATTTTGTAGCGTCAGGTTAAGAAGAAAGTTGGCCTCTTATAAAATAACCTTCCCTGTTTCTGAGACAGAGTTAGCGAAAACTTTTTTGTTATTTTTCTTCCAGATTAGCAGACCTTTCTTTTCTTTCTACCTCTACCAGCTTTCTGCTTAGTATGTAGGATGCACTTTGTCCACTGAATTTTCCAGTGCCAGTCTTTCTTCAAATGTCCACCATTTTTCATATCTAGAAGCTTTCAGAGAATGCTATGTACACCCTGCTTTTTGCAATTCGAACATATGTAATGTTTATAGTGAAATTTTAGGAAGTTGGTTTCAGACTTGACCTATTTGGCCTCCAAAATTTCTTTTTTAAACTAGGACATTTTGTTTAAAAATTATGCTTTACATCACTTCTTTCCCTTTGTCATAGAGGAAAAGTTAGTAGCAAGTAAATTATTATTTACTGTATTAACATATATATAATATTATTTTAAGGACACAGTGTAATCTTAGTTGGCTTCTAATTGTGAAATACTTATGCACATATTAATGAAGGGTTTCTTATTTTCTAAGTTCTTTTCCAAATGCTTTTTCAAAACTAAGTTGTTTAATTCTGAAAGCAACTCTGTGGTAGAATCCTTCACAAGCTCCATTGTGTAGGTTAAAAAAATTAGGTTTAGAAAGATTAGGAAGTTTCTCACAAATGGTTGACACCAGACTTAGACACAGGTATTTATGCTCCAGAGTTCATGTTCTTCCTACCAACTATATAATAATTTCCCTTTTAGTTTCTCTGACATTCCCCATTCATTTTCATATCATAATCAATTTTGCAAATAATTAAAAAACTAGCTAGCATTTGTTGCCCTTAATGCAGAGAAACTAAAGCAGATACCTTAAAGCAACTGAGGCCAATAGGAAAAGGGGAACAAGTACTAGAGAAAAGATTAGATCAAAAAGAATTAACCTAGAAGGTAACACCCACGCACAGGAAATCAATGTGAGTCAATGCCCTGTATAGCTATCCTTATCTCAACCAGCAAAAACCCTTGTTCCTTGCTATTATTGCTTATACTCTCTCTACAACAAAATTAGAGATAAGGGCAAAATAGTTTCTGCTGGGTTTTGGGGGGGGAGAGGGAGGGGGCAGAGTGGGTGGTAAGGGAGGGGGTGGGGGCAGAGGGGAGAAATGAACCAAGCCTTGTATGCACATATGAATAATAAAAGAAAAAAAAAGTTATGTAGCTCATATTAACTCATTAAAAATGTTTAAATTACAAAAAGAAAAAAAATAAAAAAATAAAATAAAATGAACCATACCTTGTAACGGGTCAGCAGATTTAGCCACAGGTTAACTTGGCCCCTCACCTGTATTTATAAATAAAGTTTTATTGGAATACAACTATCTTTATTTGTTTATGTTTTCTCTATGACAACTTTCATGCTACAGTGGCAGAGTTAAGTTGTGGGTATTTGTGACAGAGACCAAATGGCCCGAAAAGCCTAAGATATTTACTTTCCAGTCCTTTACAGAGAAGGTTGCCAATACTAGCTATAAAGTCTAAAAAGAATAGTTTGTATTTGTACAAATTGTTTAAACTCACTTTTGTTCTCTTGTGCATTGACTTCAGTTCTACCAATGAAAGCTTTACCTATAATACAAACTTGGCTCTGGCTCTTAACAATTTTCATAATGCAAATCATGGAAAGAGTGCCAATGTTTGAAAGACTAATAATGAATTGAATAGTAGTAAGAAGTACCATATTGTGGAAACTCAACACTCTTTGGCAGAAAGTGAAATTTACTACAAGACATATCTTGGAACTTATCCAAACATATTATTTACTGAAGTACAAAAAAGAAATCTGGTCTATAGCAGACTCAATTCCATAGATGAGATGATAGCGCAACACTTAGCATTTAGTGCACTTAAAATATTGACAAGTCAAACATTTACTTTTCTACCAGGTACTTTGTTGGTTATTTATAACATGAAGCTTCTGCTTACTGGAGAACCAGAGCTGGATGTTAAAACTGACAAGGAAGACATACTAATGGCGGGGGCTCTGGAAGAGGAGTGAGTAATGTGTGTGTTTGAAGACTGTCTCTCCACAGTGGCAGTGGGCTGGAGTCAGGAACCCTGCATCTTGATTTCGGTTATGAGTCCCTGGGTCTTACCACTGGGCTAATTCATTTTACACCAATTACAGATGTAAGTTAGGCTAAATCAGTGGTACCCAAACTATGTCTAAGCCTCAGAGTAACCTGGGTAACTTCTTCAGAAGTATAGAATCTTGGGCCGCATCAGAACCTACTAAATCACAATCTGTATATATTGAGCCTAGAAGTCAATACTTTTCAAATGATCCTCAGGTGATTCAAAGGTGCCAGTATGTTTGGGGACATTGGATTATAATACTTTTGATTGGATTATAATACTTTTGAAGTTCTTTAGTACCATAACTCCTTTTATATAGATATTAAAACAAAACAAAACAAAACAAAAAAAAACCCCAGAGTTCATTGCTCATCACAGATCACCAAAAACAGACATTAGTGCATTCTCAAATATGGTTTGAACCAAAAAGGAATATGACCAAATGACAGTTTTAGGATTTGTTCAGAATGGCCCAATGGATTCCATTTTGTAGTTTATAAGTGAATAAATTGACACTTTCATTATTCTTAAATGTTTTAGGAAACAGAATGAGAAGGTCGTAGTGAAAAAGTATGGAGAAAAAAATGAAATAGTGATGGGGGGTAGGTTTCTCTAAAATACCTTATTAAAGATTTATTAACTTGGCCTTCTCTTTTCTTAATGTCAAATTCTAGAAATAGAAGGTAATTTAGAGGTGATTTTATCCAGTCTGGTTCATTTTATATTCTAATGTTGTCTAATGGAAATGTGAGGACCACACATAGGAATACCACATTTAATCTTGAATTTTCTATCAGCCACATTAAGATAAGTAAAGAGAAACACAGGAAATTAATTTTAATGTTTTTGTTCAATCAGTCTATCCAAAATATTGTCATTTCAGTTTCAATATGCGATATTTTACATTCTTTTTTTTCCATACTGAGTCTTTGACTCCAGTATTTGCTTTATGCATATAGCACATAGAATTTGGACTAGTGCTCAGTGACCACTTGTGGCTGGTAGCTACCATATTGCACAGAGTGATTTTATTCTAAGGTATTGATACCCAAGTAAAAAGCCCAATTTACAAAGAACATTTTTGGGGGGGCATTTGACTTGAAATTTGCAAAGCTCCTTTCACAGTTAGGCAATTTAATGTTTGATGGCACATTTTTTTGTTCTCTTTTCTACTTTTTTTCTGATATATATATTTTTTCTCATATTACAAAATATAGAATTCAGAATATACACAGAAAGGAAGGAGATTTTTATTCTTTTAGAAAGAAATACATCCAGCCCAGATGCTGTCATGCAAATGCTGGGAACTCTTTTACCAGCATTAATACGCCAATGTCAGGAGGTGGCCCAGAGTTGTTACCAGCACTTCCATTACTCTCTCCCCTTTTCCTGCTGCTCCTGCCCTTCTGCTTAACAGTTGGGTCCAAAACTGATATTTCATGCTATTTAAAAGCTTTGAATACAAATTTTCAAATAGTTATCTGTCAGAGTGCCTTGGCATTTCAACACTAGCATCAAAAAACAACACATTATTACAGGAATAATTTGACAGCTAAGTTTTGGGGAAAGTTCTTGCTGTTTCCAGATTGTTTAATGGAGCCAGAAGCTTCTCAAGACCTTTAGACAGTTAATTACAAAATAAATAAAATGAATCAGGTCTAGGATGTACAGAGTTTCACGTAGGAAAATTGACAGTTTTGGAATTATGTTTTTGTTTTTTTCAGCAAAAATTTCCAGCTTAGTCACAAGAAAAGTGTTTTTAAGATGGATGGGATTGAATGAGGAAGGATTATTGTAAATTAGAGATGTAATTTCTGTACCAAGGATGCCATCCGTCACAGCTGTCACAAGTACCTCGATGGTGCCAAAAGGGGATGGCAGCACAGATCTTCAGGGGCTGTTTATTCCACTGAAAAAGGCTTTGCTCATAGTTCTCCTTCATTGTTGTCTTTAACTTACTGTCTCCACCTCAGCAGTCTCATGCTCCTTTTAAACTTATAGAATCCACATTTCTCATTTGTTAAAAAATGTCACAGTGTACCACACAGCATTATAGGTAGCAGGTGCTCAGAAGGTTCAGATGTTAACACCCAGTTCCTCTCTGCAAAAGGACTAGGGAAAAGCATAATTCTTAGGGCCAAAGAATAGTTAATTTTAGCTCATGCTGAATTTTTTTTCTGAGTCTTCCATTAATGGTTTCTGATAATTAAACCTCTAATTAAGTGAAATGTACGTATTCTGGTTTTGAGAACAAATATTATAACATGGCCCTTCCTATTTCTTGTTCTTGTTGTAATTATTTCCTCTTATACTACTGGGCAGCATTCTGTATCTGCCCAAAACAAGTTTCAAGTCTTGAAATTGTGTAATTTTCAGGTTTGGTATTAGATGAGGTAGTCCCACTGATTCTAAAAATAATTTACTTTTCTATATGGAATCATGAAAATTCAAACTTTTAGGCTTTTGTTGACTACAGAAAGCAGGATTTTGGCATCACTTTTTATTTATTGTAAAATTTGTGGTGAAACAGTATCTTTAAAATATTAAAGGAGACAAATGAATTTAGATATCATGATTTATCTTTAATTTTTACTATTGTGTTCTAGAGTTTTCTTAAGATTTTTGTGGTAGTAGAGATTGAAACCAGGATCTCATGCATGGCAGACAAACACACTACCACTTGAGCTCTGCCCCTAACCCTTGTATTTTTATTTTATTTTTTTTCCCAGTACTGGAGTTTGAATTCAGGGCTTTACTCTTGTGAGGCAGATTCTCTACCTCTTGAGCCATACCTCCAGCCCTTATTTTTATTTTGTTTTTGAAACAGGGTTTTGCTACCTTTGGTCAGGCAGGCCTCAAACTCTAAGTCTTCTTGCCTTCATCTTCAGAGTAGCTGAGACTATAGAAGTGAACCACTATGCCTTGCAGTGTTCTAGTGTTTTCTAGTGCTACTTCTCATTTTTATTTTTTTCCCTTATGACTTGATGCTAAACTGTAATGTAAGTTGTAAATACAACTTGGTAAGTTGTATTTCATAATTATTTCTTCATTCATAAAATAGCTGTTGCAATGTTGCATTGAACTGATTTCCATAACTTACATAACTATTCCTATATTCTTGAATAATGACATTGGTCCCAATGTTTCACATTATTTATCTGTAATATTGAAGTAGACATATTCATGCTGATAGATATTTATTCTTTGCATCATTTTCTTAAGACAAATTCCCAGGCAGGAAATTACTTGGTCAGAGTCTAAACTTCCAGGTAGTTCTGATGACTGTTTGACATTGATTTTAAATGATTTATTATTCTCTTTTGGGCTGAGCTCCACCAGCATTGAACAGCACCTGGGCCTTCTTTCATGATGATAATAGCCTCATGAAAATTTCATTAGGAATGATGTTGAAGTCCACGATCAGTGGTACCAGGTGACCATTTAACTTTTAAAAAAATGTTTGGATAAATAACACTCATCAGTATTTCAGAATGCAGATAATGCAGAAGTTTGCATTTTATGTGTGATATAATAAATTGAATTTTGAAACTGAATATGGTATATGGAGATGCCAGGGGATCAGGTGATATGCAGAAAGTGGATTGTATTTACAGGGTAGGAGCTCTCTTATTTTTAATGCATTTTGTTTACATTACTTATTTATTTTTATTAGTGTAATTGTACAAAATGAGTTTCATCACGTCATTTTCATACATGTCTATAATTTACTTTGATCATATTTATCACCCTCATCTCCTTCTCTTATTCACAACTCTTCCTCTCCTACTGATTCCCTTCCTCTTCCCAAATAGTCCCCCTTTAAGAGTTGTCTATGTGTCTTATTAACTGAGGCAAAAGTTCTTAGACCGGGAAGAACGCATGAAAAATAAATTTACAAAAAAATGTAGTTGGGCATGGTGCCTCAAGCCTGTAATCCTAGGCACTGGGGAGGCTAAGATGAGGAGGATCCTGGTTCCAGGCCAGCTGGAGACCCCATCCCAACCAATAGCTGGTTGCAGTGGTGTGCCTGTCATCCCAGCTATGCAAGAGGATCAGATCAGTAGGATCTCAGTTCTGGGCCAGCTCAGGCAAAAAAGGTTGTAAGACTCCATTTCTTTCTTTCTTTTAAATTATTGTTGTACCGAGGGTACATGGCCACATTTACCAAAATTCTTACAATATATCATGGTTGAATTCACCCCCTCCATCATTCTCCTTTAACCCTCATTCCCTCATTCCTGGAGTAGTTTCTACAGGTGTGAGACCCCATCTCAAAAGAAAAAGCTGGGCATGGTAATATATGCCTATCATTTCAGCTACAGCAGGAAATGTAAAATAGGAAGATCATGGTTCAGGCTGGCCTGGACAGAAAGTAAGAGCTTATCTCAAAAATAACCAGAACAAATGGGCTGGGGGTATGGCTCAAGCAGTAGAGTATGTGCCTAGCAAGCATGAAGCTCTGAGTTCAACCCCCAGTACTGCCAAAAAAAAAAGGTATAGAAAATTAAGAGTTTGGCACAAGAGAGGGATATGTGCTGAGAATATTGAATAATGAAGAAAATAAAAGTGGACTAGTAACAGAGTATAGGTGTTTCTTCAGGCTGGACTATGTTCATTAATTTATGCTGTGGCAATTTTTGGACCATGTTCTACATCTCACACCTTTTCAGACTTTACCCTTATCTACTGGTGCATGTGTTTTTCCCCCTTCAAAGTATTCCATCTGTGTGCAAAACAAAATCTTTAGTTAATTCTTTCTCTCCTTCGTGATAGTTGTTTGTCACCCCCAACATAGTCACACAGATGATTAAAACTTGGAATCATTTTCAAATGTCTTGTATGAATTGGTTGCAACTGGACTGAGCAAAGTTCTTATATAGATACCAAATATGGAATTACAATTCTGCAATTCATATGTT